TTGTCCTCTTTTTGTGTGCAGGACATACTTGGGCAATTTTCCACATTTTTGGGTAAATACCAGTGTTGTAGCCACACTGAAACAGCTTGGCAAGGGGAGCGGCAAGTTCTGGAGCACAAGCCTTCAGTACTGTCACTGGAATGTTGTCACGGCCCGCAGGCTTTACAGTATCCAGTGTCTCCAACCATTTCTTGGTATCACGTGGAGTGAATTGAATTGGCGGAAGACTGGTATCTGCAACGCTGGGAATAATGGAGGAGGCCAAGATGGATTATCCACTCGGCACTTCTGGCTGAAGATTGCTGCGAATGCTTCAGCCTTATCTTTTGCACTGATGTGCTGGGCTCTTCCATCATTGAGGATGGGGATATTTGTGAAGCTTCCTCCTCCAGTGAATTGTTTAGTTGTCCACCACGTGACAGGACTGCAGAGCTTAGATCTGATCTGTTGGTTGTGGGATCACTTGGCTTTAACACTTGCAGCTTTTGCTGTTTTGATGCGCATGTAGTCTTGTTTGATGGCCTCACCAGGTTGACATCTCATCTTCAGGCATGCCTGGTGCTGCTCCTGGCATGCCCTCCTGCACTCTCCATCGAACCAGGGTTGATTCCCTGGCTTGATGGTAATGGTCGAGTGGGGTTACGCTAGGCCATGAGGTTACAGATTGTGCTGGAGTACAATTCCGCTGCTGTTGATGGCCCACAGCGCCTCATGGATACCCTGTCTTGAGTTGACAGATCTGTGCCAACTCTGTCACATTCAGCACAGTGATAGTGCCACACAATACGATGGAAGTTATCCTTGACGTGAAGGCAGGACTTTGTCTCCATAAGGACTGTGCAATGGTCACTCTTACCGATACTGTCATGGACAGATGCAACTGCAGTTGGCAGATTGCTAAGGATGAGGTCAAGTATGTTTTTCCCTCTCGTTGGTTCCCTCACCACCTGCCGCAGACCCAGTCTAGCAGCTATGTCCTTTAGGACCTGACTAGCTCGATCAGGAGTCCTGCTGCTGAGCCACTCTTGGTGGTGGGCATTGAAATCCCCGCCCAGAGTACATTTTGTGCCCTTGCCATCCTCAGCGCTTCCTCTAAGTGTTGTTCAACATTGAGGAGTGCTGATTCATCAGCTGTTGGTATGTGGTAATCAGCAGGCGGTTTTCTTGCCTACGTTTAGCCTGAAGCCATGAGATTTCATGGGGTCCGGAGTCAATGTTTAGGACTCCGAGAGCAACACCCTCCCAACTGCGTACCACCGTGCCACCACCTCTGCTGGGTCTGTCCCGCTGGTGGGACAGGACATATCCAGGGATGGTGATGGTGTCTGGGACATTGTCTATAAGGTATGATTCTGTGAGTATGACTATGTCAGGCTGTTGCTTGACTAGTCTGTGAGAAGCTCTCCCAATTTTGGCACTAGGCCCCAGATGTCAGTGAGGTGGACTTTGCAGGACTGGGCTGTTTCTGCCATTGCCTTTTCCAGTGCCTAGGTCGATGCCAGGTGATCCCTCCGGTTTCATTTCTTTGAGACTTTGTCACGATTGGGACAACCGAGTGGCTTGCAGGTCATCTCTGAGGGCAATTGAGAGTCAACCACATTGCTGTGGCTCTGGAGTCACATGTAGGCCAGACGAGGTGAAAGTGGCAGATTTCCTTCCCTGAAGGACATAAGTGAACCAGATGGGTTTTTCCGACAATTAGCAATGATTTCATAATGATCACTAGATTCTTAATTCCAGACATTTTTTAAAATTATTGAATTCAAATTCCACCATCTGCCGTGGTGGGATTCGAATCCGGGTCCCCAGAACATTAGCTGTGTTTCTGGATTAATAGACTAGCGATAATACCACTCGGATGTAACTGATTTAAAGAATGATTGTGAACAAGGGTTTGATAGATCAAATGCAGAGAAACAATTTCCTCTAGTAGTGTTTTATCAAGAAAACTGAACAACACAATGGGGATAAGAAATAGTATATTGCACCAAACAGTGGTGATAATGTCGGAAACAGTATAAACAAAATTAAAAATTAAGGTGAGAGGGGAAAAGTTTAAGGGAGATATGCGTGGACAGTTCTTTACGCAGAGGGTGGTGGGTGCCTGGAACGCGTTGCCAGCGGAGGTAGTAGAGGCACGCACGATAGCATCGTTTAAGATGTATCTAGACAGATACATGAATGGGCAGGGAGCAGACGGATACAGATCCTTGGAAAATAGGCGACAGGTTTAGATAGAGGATCTGGATCGGCGCAGGCTTGGAGGGCCGAAGGGCCAGTTCCTGTGCTGTAATTTTCTTTGTTCTTTTAATAAGACAGTTATAATGGGTGTGTTCAATTTGCATATAGGCTAGGTTCATAAGTCAGCACAAATACTTTGGAGAATTAATTCCTGGATTGTGTAAGAGTGAGTTTCTGAAACAGTATGTTTCAGCCAAATAGGAATTTTGCTATTTTGTATTAATATTAATTAGTTCTTTCTCATTACAGAATAAGTAGTACTTAGATATGCACCGGTGATATCAAGGCACACAGGCTATAGGCCACGTGCTGAAGAAAAAAAATGGGACTAGAATAGTTAGGTGGTTATTTTTGACCATCACAGACACGATGGGCTGAAAGGACTTTTCTGCATTATACATTTCTATGACTCTATGAAACTAAGGTCTTGAATCCTAGCAAAAGAAACTATAAGGGTACGACGGACAAGTTGAATCAGGTGAATTGGGAAAATACACAAAGATTTGAAAGTAGATGAGCAATGGCTAGTATTTAAAGAAATACTACAAGGCCTATAATAGATATTCAATTCACCAAGGCACAAAGGGAAAGGTGAATCAAAATGGTGAATGAAAGAGTTAAAGAATGCATTAGATCAAAGGAGGTGGTGCATATGAATTTAAGAAATAATGGGAAGCCTAAATATGGGGCAATTTAGGACTTAGCAAAAGAAGGCAAAGAAACTAACAAAGATAGGAAAAAGATGAATTCAAGCCTGAGAGGAACATAAAGGAGAACTGACAAAAGCTTCTATCGATATGTGAAAGGAAGATTAGCAAGGATAAAATGTGGGCCCATTAAGGTGGCAACATGAGGATCAACAGTGGCGAACAGAAGAACAGGCGAGAAACTAGGCAACTACTTGCATCTTCCTTCATGGAAGAAAATACAGTAAATCTCCCAGAAATATTAGGCAACCAAGGTACTTGTGTAACTGCAGAAATTAAAGAAGTTAGTATTAGTAAAAAAGTAGTAATCAAAAAATTGAGGCTCATAAATCTCCTGGACCAGGTGAGCTTCATTCTAGAATGCTCATGGAAGTAGCAGCAATTTCTGAGTGGAAGGCAGAGCATGTCCCATTGAATGAACACCAAGGCGATCATTATATTTGTCAAGACGTCTAGCTACCTGCAGTAAGCTACACAGACATTTCCTATCCTGGCATTTAGAAAGATGTACCATGTCTGAACCAGAAACTGTGGGACAGAAGCAGGTCAATCAGTCCATCATGCCGGAGTTTGTAATCCTCAACTCCATTTTCCTGACTTTTTCCCCCAAAACCCTTGGTTCCCTTACTGATTAAAAACATGTCTGTCTCAGCCTTGAATATATTCAACAACAGAGCCTCAACAACTTTCTGTGATAAAGAACTCCACAGATTTGCTATCCTTAGAAAAGAAATCCTCCTCGGTTTTAGAAAGGTGACCTCTTATTCTGAAATTATGATCCATGGTCCTAGACTCTACTAATAGGGGAAACAACCTTTTTGATCTACCCTGTCAAGTCCCTGAAGAATCTTGCATGTTTCAATAAGGGTGCTCTCATTCTTCTAAACTCCAGTCGTTACAGGCCCAACCTACTCAACCTCTCCTCAGAAGACAGTCCCTTCATATCCGATATAAGCCCAATGATCCTACTTTTATATTCCTTTTGAAATAAAAGGCCAAAATTCCATTTGCTTTCCCTATTACCTGCTGGACTTGGATGCTAGTTTTTTGAGCTTTATGTACAAGGACTTCCAGATCCCTCTGTTTTGTAGTTTTCTAATCTTTCTCCAGTTAAATAATATTTGGCTCCTCTAATCTTCCTGTTAAAGTGCATAACCTCATTTCCCCACGTTACATACCGAGTTTATGCTACTTACTTAACCAGTCTATACCCTTCTGCAGACTCTTCGTGCCATTGTCACTACTTGCAGTTCCACCTCTTTTGGTGTCATCAACAAACTTAGTTACAGTACATTCATTTTCCTCATCCTAGTCATTAACACATATTGCAAGTAATTGTGGCTCCAGCACTAATCCTTGTGCCATTCCACAGTTACATGATGCCATTCTGAAAATGCCTCCCTTTATCCCAACTCTCTACCTTCTGTTAGTCACTTAATCCTCTATCCAACATCATGGGCTGTTATTAAGTAGCCTATCGTACAGTGTCTTATTAAAAGCCTTCTGGAAATCCAAATATATTACATCTACTATATCCTGTTTAACCATCATGCTTGTTACTTCCTCGAAGAATCCTAGTAAATTTGTCAGGCAGGATTTCCCCTTCATGAAGCCATGCTGACTCTCCTTGATTAATCTAACTGGTCCATAGTTACCCTTGATTTTTTCCTTTGCTTTCTAAATAAAGGTATTATATTGGCATTTTCCAATCCTTTGGCACTTTCTCAGAATCTAAGAAATCTTGGAAGATTCCTACCGATGCATCCACTATCTCGGTAGCTACTTCTTCCAATATCCTATGTTGGATCCCATTGGGTCCAAGAGACTCATCAGTCTTTACTCCCATTAGGTTCCATAGAACTTTTTCTCTTGTGATAATTACTTTAATTATTTCCTCTGTTTCTTTTGCCCAAAATTTAGTAATTTTTTAATGCTATTAATGCTTCTACTATGAAAACTAAGGCACAGTGAATTAGTGATACAGGTGTTGAAAAAAATTCTCTGACAGGCAAAACCAGAGATACAAAGGAGAACAAAATATTGGTAACTTACCACATCTTCTTTCTGACATTTCTGATGAGTCACAAATAACCACAAGCAATTCTGTTTTTGTGCTTCAGTTTGATCAGAGCCCTAAGCAAATCACAAGTATGTCACACATTACTTGGCTGCATTGATCCATCAGAAAAGATCAATGCTACATTAAACAACTAATGTGCCAGATCACTCTGTGAAGACAGTTGTTGCCAGCAATAATTTATTTTTAAATTCACAGGATAAGGGCGTTGCTGGCTAGGCCAGCATTTATTGCCCATCCCTAATTGCCCAAGAGGGCAGTTGAGTCAACCACATTTGTGGATTTGGAGTCACATGCAGGCCAGATCACATAAAGATGGCAGTTTTCTTCCCAAAAGGGAATCAGTAAACCAGATGGGTTTTTACAAACAATAGAAAGTGGATTTATGGTTATCATTAGACTCTTAATTCTAGATTTTTTTTCCAAATTGAATTCAAATTCCAACATCTGCCATGGTGGGATTTGAACCCGGGTCCCCAGAACATTGCCTGGGTTTCTGGATTAACAGTCCAGCACTAATACCACTAAGCTGTTGCCTCCCTTTAAAGTTCTCAGGTTAAGACATGCTTGGGTAACAGCATGAACTCAGCTGTGGCTCAGTGGGTTGCACTGTCCCTTCTACTCAGATCATTATCAGGTTTCCTTTATCCCCACATTACACAGCCACCACTCCTACATCTTGGAAGACAGGAAAACAATAAGACCGGTGAATGTGGTTCGACCACATTTGGAATACTGCGTACAGTTCTGGTCACCACATTACCAAAAGTATGTGGATACTTTGGAGAGGGTGCAGAGGAGGTTCACCAGGATGTTGCCTGGTATGGAGGGTGCCAGCTATGAAGAGAGGTTGAGTAGATTAGGATTATTTACATTAGAAAGACGGAGGTTGAGGGGGGACCTGATTGAGGTCTACAAAATCATGAGAGGTATAGACAGGGTGGATAGCAAGGAGCTTTTTCCCCAGAGTGGGGGACTCAATTACTAGGAGTCACGATTTCAAGGTGAAAAGGGAAAAGTTTAAGGGAGATATGCGTAGAAAGTTCTTTACGCAGAGGGTGGTGGGTGCCTGGAACACGTTGCCAGCGGAGGTGGTAGAGGCAGGCATGATAGCGTCATTTAAGATGCATCTAGACAGATACATGAACAGGCAAGGAGCAGAGAGATACAGATCCTTGGAAAATAGGCGACAGGTTTAGATAGAGGATCTGGATTGGTGCAGGCTTGGAGGGCCGAAGGGCCTGTTCCTGTGCTGTAATTTTCTTTGTTCTTTGAAACATACTCCTCCAACTTGTACATTTCATAAGAACATAAGAAATAGGAGGAACAGGCCATTTGGCCCCTTGGGCCTGGTCTGCCACTCAATAAGATTGTGGCTAACTTTTTCATGGACTCGGCTGCACTTATCTGCCCACTCACCATAACTCTTCATTCCTTTACTGTTCAAAAACCTATTTTGGACTTAAAAACATTCAATGAAGTAGCTTCAACTGCTTCAGTGGGGAGGGAATCCCACAGATTCACAACCCTTTGGTGAAGAAGTTCTTCCACAACTCCATTCAAAATTTGCCCCCCCTTATTTTGAGGCTAGTCCCCCTAGGTCTAGTTTCACTCGCCAGTGGAAACATCCTCCCTGCTTCATTCTTATCTTTTCCCTTCGTAATTTTATACATTTCTAGAATATTCCCACCCCCTCACCTCATTCTCTAAATTCAAAATTAGTACAATCCCAGTCTACTCAGTCTCTCCTCAATAAGCCAATACTCTCAAGTCTGGGATCAACCTAGTGAACCTCCAGTGCCAAGACACCCTCTCTCATGTAAGGAGAGAAAAACTCACCAGCACCTTAAAAAGCTGCTGCTGCAAAAAAAACTATTTTCAAACTCCCTCCCTCTAGCTATGGAGGACAATATTCTATTTCAAACTGGAGTTCCAATGGGACCAGTATGTTTTATTAAAGTGTTACTGGTTTTTCTCCTTCTTCAGCTGTACAAATTGAGGGCGAACACCCTAACCCTTCCACTTTACCTCCCACCCCCACCCCAGCTCTCCGCCCCTCAAACCCTTCTCACCTAAAGTCCCTGTAATTTTTCCGAAAAGGCACAGAGCTCTGACAGGAGTTTCTAGAACATGGAGGCCGATGAGTGGGTATGCAATCCATCCCCCTACAATGCTTCTGCCATCCCCCCCCCCCCCCGGCTGCCCCCCCACCGCCAGCAGCAGCAGCACCCGGCCTGAACACGAGCTGGTGGTGCTGAAGCGCTCCGACCGGTTGAGTGTGTCCAGGAGGGCCCCGATCTCCGGGTCCACCCCCCCTGCCCGGCTCCGGTCGCTGCCGGGCCGCAGGCGCTGCTCCTTCCGCTCGCGGAACCTGTCCATGGCGGGGCTGGGGGCGGTTGCCGAGGAGACCGTTCGCGCGCCGCTAAGCGAACGTTTAACGGCCGCAGCGCGAGCTCCAGGGACGGCGGCCTCCGGGGGACAACGCGCAGAGCGCGACCGGCACTTCCGGTGTTCGTTGTCGTTCTAATCGCCTCATGTTTATTCAACTCCCGGCGCGGGTCTGGTGCTGCTGTCGCCGTCACCATACAAATGAGCTTCTCGAAAACCGTAAGAAACTTGTCGGATTTGAAGCAAGTTGCTCGTTCAGCGACACCATAGGTCGGACTCCCTTTTAAAGATGAAATAAATGCAGGATGATCTTTTCCCCGCAGGGGTTGGCCTGCTCCCATTGTCGGTTTCCGAGAGAGTGAAATGAGGAGGCAGTGTTTCCAGGGGCAGGAGGGTCGGTGGGCAGAGGGAGACAAATTGAAGGGAATCGGGAAAAAAAAACCCAGAGAGGGGAGATGAAGGGGATTTGTCGGCAAAACAAGAGGTGGCCATTCCGCCCATCCTGTCTGCACCAGCCCTCTGAACTCAACGACAGTTCGCTGTCTTTCCCCTCATTTCCTACACACACACTATTTCTATCCAATCATCCAGTTCCCTCTTGAATGCCTCAACTGAACTTGTCACCCTACATTTCCAAGCAGTGCTTTCCACACCTTAACTACTCACCGTGTGAAATCATATATTCTCGCGTCGCCTTTGCTTCTTTTGCAAAACACTTTAGAACGTAGACCAGTACAGCACATCATGTCTGTGCCGACCATGACCTCTACTGCCTGCACATACTCCATATCCCTCTAGTCCCTACCTGTTCATGTGTCTGAATAAATGCCTCTTAAACGTTGCTATCATATCTGCTTCTACCACCTCATCTGGCAACACATTCCAGGCACCTACCACCCCCGTTCCAATGAATTTTAACACAAGCTCGGTATTTCACAGAGTGGTCAATAGTAGAAATAGGGGAGGGCGATTGGTTGTGGCAGAATCACCTGCACCTGTCCTGTTTCAATCTACAAAGTCAAAAATCACACCACACCAGGTTATAGTCCAACAGGTTTTTCTGAAGACACAAGCTTTCGGAGTCTTACTCCTTCTTCAGGTGACACCTATATCTACACAGAACCTGACCCAACGTGTAGAGAATCAATGGCTCCAGCTAGGGAAGGAATCCTGTTGAGAATGCAGTTTAGGTGCGAGGATGAAAGAAAGGGCAGCTGAAGAAGCAGGATGAACGATTATCTTGAAATTAAAGAGACTGTTCTACCTTTGAGACAATTGACATGTATCCACAACAGGCGCTGTGTTTTCCTGTGTGTGACTACTGATCTCTGCGTTAAACTTTGGTAGGTCCCCAACCCCTGCTATATAGGTTATGGCTATTTACAGTCCCCAAAGCGTCACTTAATATTATTTCCCCCAGGAGCTGGTCACCCTGCCTTGAAAATTCAGATCAGTTGGTCACCCTGTCCCAGAACAGCAGTGTGGGAGTCCCCTCTCGTTGTTGGGCCACATACGGATGCTCTCACCACAAAGAGAAGGAGCTGGAACAGCACAGGGTTAGACTGCATGAAGTAGGCATGTCATCACCCACTTGGAAAAGCATGCTGATACTCAAGCCCCAACAAAAGTTCCCAATTTTGCAGTCTCTGTTGGACTCAGACTAAAAGAAAACACTGATGAGGTTTCTGCCCTTAACAAGAAACTACTATTTATTACAAAGTAATCAATCCTAACCAGATTCAAACAATACTACGAATTGTCAACCTGTAACTTCACTAGTTGAAAGCTCCTTCTTAAGCCGCTACATATAAATACAGACAAACAAACAAACTTGGATGTTATGGATGAAGGGAAGAAAATATTGGAGAAACACAGTTCTGTAGCACCAGTCCACAGGCAATAAGGAAACCCTTTAACTTCAAATTCTGATATCAGTTATTTCTATTCTTTACTGCAAAAACTGGGCAATTGGTACACAAATCGTTCAATATTTCAGTCACTGGTTAGAAGCAATAGCTTGTAGCAGATAGTGAGAGAAAATAGTGAGTTATTCCACGTTTTGGTTAATTCACTCCATAGAAAGGTGGAGAAAATCTTTCTCTGTTGCGTTCTGGAGGATTCTGACCCTGTATTATCCACACATTCTCCGTTCACCTGCCCAGGAACTGGAGAGTTGTTATCATGTCCCCCACCCTACACGTTCCACATCAGGCCGGTTGCCCTCCGGGCCCAGCATGCTATCGGTCTGTGTTGCAGTAGTGGGCCAGCACAGCTGTCAGTGGTTCAGTTTGGGATTATGTTCGGCATGGACTGGTTGGACTGAAGAGTCTGTTTCTGTGCTGTGTGACCCTGTGACTCTATGACTCTGTGTTGATGACAATTCCACAACTCCTGACTATGCAGATCAATCGGCAGTCTGTCTCTGGGCAAAGCTTGCTGTGCACATATTCAAGATGCTATGGCACCATGGACATCTTCCCCCACTGCTTGAACAAAGTAACAGTGTAAACAAAATACAGAATGAGGTCCAACAACTTGCCTTTAAAATGCAGCAACTCTTTTTGTAGTCCTAGGTTTATTGCAGTATCCTTTTTTAATTTTGGTCTACAACGCAAATTAAAGAAAAAATTTTTAAAAATGTGTACTTATTAATTAATTGGGAGCAATGGTGTTATGAGCATGCTCTTCCAAGTAGTGATGGTGGGTTTGGGACTGGCCTGGAGAAAGGAGAGAATGAGGAGACTGACTCTGATGATACCTCCCAATCAACTTTAAAAATCTGTTTGTAGAGATTTTGTTGTCAGCCATTTTGAGCACACTGCTTACAGGAACTATCTGAAAAGCATCTTTGAAGAAGTGCTGGACTGCTCTGCAGTCTCTGCTTTCACTCTGATAACAGTTGTGTGTCTCATGAGTTCTGGAACACAGTCTCAGTCATTGCAGACAGGTCTGGTATCAGTTACCTGCATCTGCAGTCACCCCTTGGGGACCAAGACATAGCCAAGAAATTGATCGAATTCAAAATGGCCTTGCCTTAGTTGGTTTCAAGATCTTCTGAATCTCAGTCTTTTTTAGGTTCATAGTATTACCTTAAAAAAAACTTAAAATATGGTGCATATTTAGAGAGAATTGGCTTCAGGATTAGAACTATCCTCCTGGCTGAAATCTCACTCTGGAAATAAGTATACTGTACTACCCGTTCCAATAATTCCTGAATAGTGGGCCAAACAATGTGAAATAGAACGCTACGAGACAACTACACAAGGTGAATGTAACTGCGACAGCAAGGAATCCAAACACTTTTCATCACTATCATAAAAAGTATCATAACAAGTTTTTTTATGAGACTAGACATTTTTAAATTCATTCAGGAGTAGTGGGTGTTGCTGGTTAGACCAGCATTTATTATCCATCCCTAAGTTTCTTGGAGAAGGTGATGGTCAGCTGCCTTCATTCCAAACTATTATAGTCAAATGTATAGTAAATTTAACAAAATCCAAAAGATCACATAAAGCAACAGTTTTGTAATATTTCGCAATTATGTCAAGTGTTTATTGGGATTATCTTATGGCAGGAATTGTTCTATCATACAGAATGGTGTATCAACGGATGTACACATGGGAAAACAACCAAGTTTGTTTCCAACTAACATACAGTGTAAATTAATTGCAATTAAACTAAATTCAATCTGCAGCTTAAATTACAGAGTCGGGCCGGGCTGCGTAAATAAGTCGTTTTGGTACCCTTGAACCATGAAGGTAACAATTTGTGTGGGAAAGTGTAACTTTTGCATAATTTAATGTCCTGACTGCATATCTGTTTTCAGTGAAAATAGGGGAATAGTAATGAATCAGAAAGCACCATTTCAAGGTGAAAAAATGCTGAAGGTCTCACTATGGGGTAAAAATATTTATTCTACTGCCTCCCCCTCCCCCCAGCTCAATCATCATCAGCACTGCTTCTGAAAACTTGCACCACCATATCTATCCACCCAAGGTAAATATCCTCAGTTTTGATCACTGAGCTGTTTGGCAAGTGCCCTTTATTTCTTGTAAAAAATTAGCCATGCTGACTGTATGAGGCAACTAGAAATGAGAGAAAAATACCATTAAATCCCTTCTCAGTATAATTAAAAGCTCAAAGTAGATGTGTAGTGCTTTAAAATGATTGGAGCTATAGAGTTGTACTGCACAGAAACAGACCCTTCGGTCTAACTCTTCCACGTGGACCAGATATCCTAAATTAATCGAGTCCCATTTAATATTTGGCCCATATCCCTCTAAACTGTTCATATACCCATCCAGATGCCTTTTAAATGTTGTTATTGTACCAGCCTCCACCACTTCCTCTGGCAGCTAGTTCCATACATGCACCACTCTCTGCATGAAAAAGTTGCCCTTTGGTCCCTTTTAAATCTTTCTCCTCTCACCTTAAACCTCTAGTTTTGGACTCCCCCACCTCAGGGAAAAGACCTTGGATATTCACCCTATCCAGAACCCTCATGATTTTATAAACCTCGATAAGGTGATCCCTCAGCCTCTGATGCTCTAGGGAAAGTAGCCCCAGTCTATTCAGCCTCTGCCTATAGAATAAACCCACCAACCCTGGCAACATCCTTGTAAATCTTTTCTGAACCCTTTCAAGTTTCACAACATCCTTGCTATAGCAGGGAAACCAGAATTGCACATAATATTCCAAAAGTGACCTAACCAATGTCTTGTAGAGCTGCAACATGACCTCCCAACTATACTCAATGCACTGACCAATAAAGGCAAGCATACCAAACACCTTCTTCACTATTCTATCCACCAGCGACTCTACTTTCAAGGAACTATGAACTTGCTCTCCAAGGTCTCTTTATTTAGCAACACTCCTCAGGACCTCACCATTAAGTGTTTAAGCCCTGCCCTGATTTGTATTTCAAAAATGCAGCACATTTATCTAAATTAAACTCCATCTACCAGCCCTTGGCCCATCGGCCTATCTGATCAAGATCCTGTTATACTCTGAGGTAACCTTCTTCACTGTCCACTACACCTCCAATTTTGGTGTCATCTGCAAACTTACTAACCATACCTGCTATGTTCACATCCAAATCATTTATATAAATGTTGAAAAGCA